ATATATTAGCAAAAGCGGTGCAAACAAGGCCACATGACGCTCAACCCGGAGAGTAGATGCTCGATAAGAGCATATGCAAGTCCCAGGCAATTGCGAATATCCTGAATAGGATGCCGCGAGCAAGAGATGAGAGGTACCTACAAGAGGTAAGTCACGTAGCTGCATACAGCATAGGAAGGTATGTGGTTGTCTGTCACTGAGGAAGAGCACGTTGTACTTACGGATGGGCGTCTCGTCGTCACAAATGGCTGAAAAAGAAGTACATAAGTTGCTAGCTCTTTTCCCCTGGTTTTGTATCCGATGTAGGGTTACGCCTAATGATAGATAGCACCTACAGTGGACCAGGGCTGTGCGCAAGCTGTCGAAAGCCGCCTGTGCAGGTAGGAAGGTGCGCGAGCAAGTCGGGGGCTTGGCCGAGGGTGCAAGTAAAAGGTCATCACGTAGAATCGAGATGGCCGAGTGAGGGCATATATAGTAAGGGCATAGGCGCAGGGTGTGTTCAACTAGGGATTGTGTAAGTAGGGAATCAGGAGGTGCATGCAAGTAAGGAGGAAGAGGAAAATGGAACGAGATCAGGCGCGGATCGGGGTTTGGCATGCGGGTTTGGATCCGAGTCTCCCAAATCGTTCTGTGCGATGGATATATTCGAACAACGGTGTGAATGTGGTGGGATTGTTTAGGAGCTCTGGAACTATAAGGAGTCAGCGGTCCAGTTTCCGGAGCGGGGGAGCGCGTTTGCGGTGTCGCGCGAGGCGTTTGAGTAGGATGTGGATTACCGTCTCGAGTTTGATCGTGAAAATAAGGCGCAGGAGTGAGTCTGATTTTCCTATGTGGTGCGACGGCTGGTAGGTGAATCTGTCATGTATTGACGTCCAGATTATAAGCGATCAAACCGAGAGAGTCTAGAGGGCGGATGGACGCATGGTGAGATCAAATATTGAACGGCGGTAGAAACGATTTAGGACTTCTACTAACCAAACTGCGTCAGTGGACGAGTCATGCTGGCAACTCTTACAAGCAATCTCTGTCCGCACGTGAGATGAATCTTTAGCTCTATGGGTAACGAACGAACGAAACCTAGTCATTCGTGCATTTTCATACTCGGCGGCAAGGAGGTTATAAAAGATAGGGAACCTCCGGAAGATTCAATGCCATCCCTTGACCAGCTAGCCATGCGGTCCACTCACCTCAAGTTCTACGTTGCTGCTGCCCTCGTAGCTGCCCCTGTAACCCTTGCACAAGGGTTCGTTTACACCTGCGACGGATCAGCTGTCCGCGTTGTTGGGACAGTCCTCTCCACGACTTGCACTAACGAAAAGGGCAAGAAGCATTCCACCTCCATCAACTTGAACGACTGCGTTGCCAACTACGATGGCAACCTAGCATGTGCTGTCAAGTAAGGAATACATTGTTCTTGCGTGACCGAGGTCGAGCTGATGAGGGAATATCCAGCGGTGGCTTCAGCAGCTCGTGCACGGGATGTGGACTTACTTCCGGTGTAACATACTTGTGTTTATGCTCAAACGGCCACGGCGGCCAGAACCCTACCGCGTTAAATCTTAGTAAGCAGCTAGCCCTACATATGCTGATAAACAAAACACACTCCTTTGCAGACAACTGCCTCTCCAACCAAGATGGCAACCTTGCTTGCTGAACACCTCCGGACGTCCACGCTCGGTGATGGGGGCGATTATTCAGGAGTTTTCATGATGTAGAGCGAAGATCTGCGTGTAGTTAGAGAATGCTGTTCAAGAGGAACTTTGAGTAGCAGCGGGGTGATTGTGCAGGAGTTGACACAGGAAATATATCGCAGCCACGCTACTCATGTGGTAAATACTGCTTCACAATCTGGATTAGAGTCCCAGAAGCAAGCTTACCTCGATAAGCACGAGGTCCAAGTGCAACAAGAGATCAACAGATAAACAAAAGGATCATGGAACAGACGACGGAGAGGTCCATGAGAGGAAGCCAGACGGGTAAGCGCAAGGACAACTCAGCTCGACGGGCACAGCGCAGGTTCAGCACGAAAGCAGAGGATAGATCAAAGCACAAAACAGCTAGTCAACATGAAGCCACCACCTACGCGACATTCATCCGCGCCACCGTGCCCCCGCCCGTGTTTCCGTCAAAGACGAAGAAATTGGCGATGGGCGGCTCGCGCGCGGCCAATGCCTTGAGCACATCCTGCGCGAGCATCCCGCCTACCACCGCGCACACTGGCGCGAGCTCATGCGCCGCTGTGACCGCCATCGATCTGTGCCAGCTGATCAGTGACCTGGGGCATCGCGAACAGAGCTGAAGCGGGCCGCACGACCTCGGACGCACTCAATCAATTCTTTTGGGGCGTTCGCAATCGCCTGCCTGTTCACACATGCGGCCGTGAGCAGGGTGTTTGCGGCCTGCTCGAGCGCCACAGCTGCACCCGAGTCGTCCGGCAGTGCCCCGCCGTGCTGGGATTGATACTCCCATATTGCTGCAAAGGCTATGAGCGTGCTGTAGCGCAGTGTCGCACGTCGCGATACTGACCGAGGACGGCGAAGATGGCAGCTGGATTGAGCTCTTTCGTCTGCCTCCGAGAGAGCGCCGACCATCGGTGCTCCAGTGCGGTCTTCAACGGACAGTATCTAGTCGTGTTCTTAATATTTTTTGCGACGTCCTTGGGTGCTGCGCGGTCCCTGAGTCCAATTAGCGAATGCGGCATGTCGATCCCGATAAGCCAGGAGACATACGGTGCGATGTAGTCATGTGCGAGCAGATCGCAGAAGATATACCCGAGCAGCCCGTATGTTCCCCCGGCATAGAAAGGCTTGTTCGCCCGTCGACACACGTCATTCACAAGGATCTGACGGAGCGGATCAACATGGTGGTGGACCGCCGATGCACCATTAATCTACCAAAGTCTCACGATCCATGTCGGTCACACAGACCATATCGACGCCCTGTACAAGGACAGCAAGCGCGGGCTCGTCGAGAACGGCGGTCGCTGAGGCCTCAACAGTCACGAGCGGGTTCAGGCTCTCGATTCGACCCTTTGCCGCGGTCGCTTTCTATGAAAAACGTCAGTAGCCGCTACCAACGCTACCAGCATCGAGCCATCGCCATCTGTGTAATATGTGCCAGGATGCTTCGTATCATGTGCGCACTCTGACTGATCAGATACAGTGGAAGCCTCGCGCCAGCCTGAGAGGGGGAACCGCAGCCATCGCGGGAGGTACGCGCGAAGGCGAGAAGGCGCACGACACGGGGCATATTCCGGACGCACGTTAATAAACGGCGTGTGCACGCCGGCGTGTGCTGCGCAGTGGCGACGCTGCAGGGCCTCGGAAAGGCGAGCCCGGGATGGACGCAGCGCCTGGGCCACTCACGTTTTTACCCACATCGTCGTCGCGGAAGAAGAAGCCTGCGCCGAGGTCCTCCTCCGCGACGAGGTCTCCGTCGACGAGGACGAGCTTTCCGATGCCCGCGAGGACGATGTTCTTGATGGCCTCCGTTGCGACGCCGCGCAGACGGACGACGAGGATGGTGGCGTTGCGCATCCTAAAGCGCGCGTTGAGCACCTCGTGTGATAGCGGGTGGCGGGCCAGGAGATGCCGGAGAGAGACTGACCTTTGCTGTGCCTCCAGGCCCCATAGGCGAATTTGCCTATCGTACACAGCAGCCTCGTCTTTGATAGGGAAGAATCAGCACTGGCAAGGAGGCGGAGCACGGAGCACTGCAAGAACGCACCCTCTGTGATCTGAACAGGAACGGCCTTGGACGACGGGTCGAGCGTGGACATTGTGCGAGAGTTCTGTTCAGGAAGACGAGCCTCGGTGTATCAAGAACAGTTGCGGGAGAACAGCAAGTGGCGAAGTTGACAACAACGCAGGATTCCCTTTTCGGGACTGCGAACAGATTCTGGCGCGCGAAATTGCACAATTAATGTCGTACATAGAGCGTGCAAGCTCTCTCACAGAAAAATGACTATCTTATATCCTGGCAGAGAAACGCTTTCCGCCTTTCAGATGCCTTCCCGTGACGAGAAAACGATGTTCGTTGTTCTGCGCATCGCCGCATTACATACATCTCAGCTAAAGATATACAAGTACACCATCCATGTCCGACAACCGTCCGTGCCGTGACAATAACTAGTAGGGCGTAACCGTTTGATAGCAATGCGAGCGCAGTAAAATACACCATAGGGTACGACGGATAGCAATGGGAAAATTAGAAAATACAGGTTAACCTATAGAACTAGGCCGGGGCGATCCCATTACAGCATCACAAAAATCGCACGAGGAGGGGACAGACGCAGATCCAATCTCAGTTCGTGGTCATCAGAGGCAGCCCGTCCGCACTGGACGCCGCATCTCTATCGTCATCGAGCCTGCGTCCGTGCAATCAGCGCGGCGCCGGTCGGAAAGATGTCCGGACTTACAGGTAATTCCGCTCAATTTCTGACAGAATCGACAGGAAGTCCCCTAGTGTGCGGTGTATGCCAGTAAGGGAACACTGACGATCAAGGAAATGATGGCAGACGTACACAGGTAAGCGTGGGCACGCGCAGCCGATGCTGGCGCAGTCTCCGCCTTGCGCACAGCGTCAAGCAGCGTTGATGCGACGAAGCGGACTTTGTGTACCTAACAGAGCGCGTGTCAGCGGTCGAAGGCACCTAGACCGGGGGCGTTGACTAACCAGCGAAGGCCCGTTCGTAGCAATTGACTGGATAGGGATGCTGAGAAATGTGTCGTAAGACACCGCGCAAAGCGTCCGGACGTGCATTTCACCAACCTGTGCAGGATATTCAGCAGCTCGCTAGCCACAGACTCCCTTTCTTCGGCCACCCGACGCTCATCGATGCTCCCTTGCAGCGACGTCATCAGCTCGTCGCGGTACTGCTCAATCACAAACCGGACCAGTTGCTGCACACATGGGCTTATCAGACGCGTAATCACATGGGGAGCGAGCTCGCGACGCGCGTACCTGTGTAACGTACACATTGGACTGCATCACGAGGAACGGGTTGAGCGCGTTCGCACGCGATGCGTTCGGGTTGTCGAAGAAGTCTTTGACCTCCGCAAAGGTGGCCTGACGGAAGCCCGCACCACCGTACTCCGGGGGAACATGGGTATGTGAGTGTACGTACTTGAGACAAAGCGGTTCCGGGGCATGTACGAGCGCAGCGAGGATACGCGCATGGAGCGCCTCCACCTCTTCGAGCCGCGCGGTGAGGAACTGGCCTTGAGGGGGAGATCGCTTATCCACCCGGATTCGTACGAGAATTTCGCCCAGAAGAGCAAAGATTCGTGAGATATAGTTGAGGCCGGAGACAATAGCCGTCTTGCCCTGTGGCTGCGGAAGGTAGGCACTGTGCGTGATGCTGGGAATTGCCCAGATTGCCGGGGCGAAAGGCCGCGCCAAACGTTAAGATCGGCTGACTCCGGATATGCACAAGTCAATAGACACTCACTACTCGTCATCCAGCTCGCGCGGAAAATTGCACGTGGTGTCCTCATCTCGAAGGCAGATCGGACGCCCCAGCAAGATCGACATGGACTTGTCGGCTGGACGTCAAAATAAAACAATTAGAATGCGCACACGCTGACCACAGCGCCGCCTCACCTCCGAAGAGGAGCCAAAACGTCCGACGTCGCACTTCGCATTCGATGAGGTCTAGTCCTTCATAAGATGACTCCTCGTGCATGCGAAGAGTGATTGCGATATGAGCCGCCTCGCCGAACGCCGCATGCTGCGTCGCATCATGGCCTTCGCAGAAATGATATACGGTGTCACTGCCCAAGAAGTTGTCAAGTACAAGGGTCCTCGATACGGACATGAGGCACTTACAAGTAGCGGATGACAACGTGCATGACCGAAGGCGGATCATATGATGCGACGGAAATGTGTCGACTGGCTTCGTGGCAGGTCTGAGCGAGCTTGCGCACGGCATGACGCTCCATGGGGAGATAAGATCTGGGCACTTGGACGAGCGTCGAGGCCACAGTAGACATTACGAGAGCAAAGAAGAGCGGATCTCGCTCCTCGCGATGGGAATGGACGTCGGCCATGAAGGACGGCTTGTGAACGCACGGGGTCAGTGGATAAACGAAATCGAAGAATAAGGCGAGGATGAGAAGGATAGTTTCCCGCGGAGCGACATCCTCGAGACGGTGGGGACGATAATAATAGGACAGAGGGGGTATCGATGTTGGGGGTGGTATTGGGATGGCCTGGTGTTGCCGGAAGGACCAGTTGTAGAGTGGATAAGTACTGAACTGGTCGTGAGGAGATGCGAAAGACTGGGAGTCGTCACGGGAGGGGGCGTACGAGGTGCCGAGGGGCGGGATGGGGGAAAACTGATTGTGGAAGCCGTCTGCGGCGATGGGATAGCGCGAAGGGGTGAGGGCGGTGGTGTGCATGGACGGAACGGGGCTAAGGGACGGCTCGAGGAAGGACGCAAGGCCGCCCTGGGTGGAGGGCGAGATGGTCTGGGTCGGACTTGCAGCGGTGTGTGAGGCGGAGACGGGGGAAGTCATCTCGGAGGGGCCTTGGCTATCCTGCTGGGCGGCGGCTGCGGCTGCAGCCTCCTGGAGCCTTCTGAGGTAGCTACGGGAAGGTGAGGACAGCACAGGGAGTGGAGCGCGGAAACTCACAGGTTGGGAGGCCCCCTCTTTTTGGGTTGGTAGTCGTAGGTGCACGCGATGCCTAGTGCGATGCAGTGTTTGCAGGATTGCTTGGGGTCGTCGGGGTTTTCGCGGGCACACCTTACCTTGCGTGCACGACAGGCATCACAGCCTGGGAGGGGAGTCAGACGAGGTGAAGTGGGGGAAAGAGCGGACGCACTCTGGGACTGTCGCCTGTGGGGGAGGGGAGAGGCGTCAGCGCGGTCGAGACGAGAAGAGGAGACGGACGAGGACATGGATGCTGGCTGCAGGGGCCCCAGGCCGGTGGAGGGCGGAGGCAGATGCGGGGTAGAGTCGGATGGCGAAGAGGAAATGCGGGGACGATGCGAGCCTCCAGGAGGTTGAAAGTAGCGGGGAAATGTCGGGTAAAGGCCACTCACTTTCTCTTGACCTTTTCGCACGAGTCCTTGGACGCGGCATCGCCAGCGGGGGGCGAGGACGACTCGACGTCGGGCTTTGTGCGGACGGAGGCCATGGCGGGGCGACGGGGCGGGCAGCGAGCACGACGGCGAGGACGGCGAGGACGGGACACGGCGCGGGGGACTTGCGGGGGGCCGTCGAGCCGCGGCCTGATTTTGTGCGGCCAGTGTTTGGACGCGTGTTTGCAGCGCACTCGCCGGCGCCTCCCCAACGACGCGCTCCCCGCCGCCGGCGTCACGGGGCCCAGCGCGGACCCGCTCCCGGACTTAAACATTCGCCCATTCGATACACCCAGTGCGCTCTATGTACTCGCTCCCATTAGCTCGCGCTCTACCGTACTTTCTTTCCCTCTGCGCCCCTTCGCAACTCCCAGATCGCAAATTCAGCCCTGAGAAGCACCTGCTCTGCCCCCTGCTTCCCGTGCGACCCTGTGCCATGCGACTCGCCTCCCAATGATCGTCTTCCCATTCGTCAGCCCTCCGCTTTGCCCTCCCCCTCGCCCTCGCCCTCCCCCGCCACCGCTCCCAGCACCCGGCCCCTCCGACGCCGCACAGGCTCGCACAACTCCACCAGCATAACCCGCCCCTTGCTCTCGTTCAGCCACCCCTTCTCACAATGCATCCGCACCGCGCTCGCGATCCTCTTCCGCGTCTTGGTCTGAGCCCGATCCGCCCACTCCACCTTGTCCTTCATCAGCAGCCGCCAGAACCGAAACGCCATCTCCGGGTCGTCCGCCCGCAGCGCAGCCACCACACAGTCTCGCCCCATGTTCGGCGACGGCACCTGCCTCGCCGTCAGTAGCGAGTCCACTAGGTCCTTCGCGTTGTCTAGGTAGTCCTTCGCACTCGCCCGTCCGTCCCGGTCCATCGTCACCGTCGCCCGGATCAGCGCACCCAGCGTGTGGTAGTCCAGCCGGTGACAGTTCAGCTGCCGCGCCCGCCGCAACAGCGCCGTCACCAGCGTCGCGTCGTTGTGTATCACCGCGCGGTGAATCACGATCCCGAACGTCACCACGTCCGGCTGCAGCCCAATCTTTACCATACGGTCGATCACCCGAGCCGCTGCCGTTGGGTTGTAGTCCGCCAGAATAGACAGCGCCACGTTCACGTCGTGCAGGTCTGGCACAATTCGCCGGCTGAGAATGAGCCGGAACGCCTCCAGCCCCTCGTCCAGCTTTCCGAGCATGAAACTCGCCCGCGCCAGCGCGTTGAGCTTGTAGTGATGCACCTCCTTCACCGGCTGACAGCTCTTGTGGAAAGCAGTGTACACTTGCAGCGCGAACGCCCTGTAGTCTGCGACCCTCGCGTCATCGTCGCTAAGGGCCTTGTCGCCCTCGGTCGGGCTTTCGGATGAACATGGCAGCGCTGTCTCCACAGAGACACTCGAATCCACGTTGGAGGCCTGCAGCGCTCCACCTGACGCAGAAGGGGCAGCACGCGCGTTCTCATGTGGAAGCTGTCGGTCGTGAGAGGGATCCTGGGCAAGGATCTGGCCATGCTCCGACGACCAGCTCGAGTCCCTCGGGACAGCCTCCACGTTAAGCGATTCGCCCGGCCCAGACGGTGATGGCCCACCTTCATTATACACAGACTCTAGTCCGCTTCTTGAGTGCGCCAACGCGGATGTAGCTGTCCCGGTACCCGGAGAGTGAGACGAGTCGGAGAGGGCGCCATCCTCGTCGTATCCACTGGTCAATTCTTCGGCAATCTCCACCACGCTGGTTCCGGCTAATGCCGTGGACGGCGGCGCGTCCTCGCCCTCGTAACGTCGAACGAGGCTGGTGAAAAGGCTGACCAGTCGGAGCATCGCCTGGGCGTGGCTCGTCACGACCTTTTGTTGACCGCCAGTGGTATAGCGCTCCCACAGTGCTCGGGCCTGCGTAGCAAAGCCCTGTGACGCGACGAGCGCGATCAGCCGTCCGCGGTCCTGGAGGGGGATAGGGACGTGTTTATCGACGATGTCCGACGCCAGCTGACGAGCGAGGTGGTGATTCTTGCTTCTGACGGCCAGGTAATGGAAAAACGAGGTCAGAATATGACCCGAGGGGGGTGGATAGGAGTGGTGCATTCGCACGGCGTCCGACTGCGCGACTACGTAGACAGCTTCGATTGCCTCAGGACTAGACATTCTCTCCGCAGCTTCGGAGAAGATCTGCAGAACATGCGCGGGAATATCATAGTTTGGACTGCGTTGCATAATTTGGATAATGATGGCGGCCGAATCGTTTACGTCCCGCACTCTGGGATTTTCTATCAGAGCTCGCACAACATACACGCAAAGCCCGCCAAGAGAAGGGGTGATAATTTGAGCGTCCGGCAGCGCCCTCATGATCAGAGTACTAGCGCTCGACCGCCAGCCCCAGTCAACGCACGATCGAGTTATAGCTGAGAGAACGATGAAGCTGAAGTCCCCAGACTGAAGGTCCGAGCGGGTGATGGACTTTGCAGACAGGTTGTCAGTCTTGACGAGCGCATCCATGATTTCAAAAGACTTGGCCCGCATGTCCAGCCGCGCGAGTTCATACGCTAAGCGATACAACAGCTCGACAGCAGATCTTGACCGGCGGAGTGTATGGTAGTCGCACATACTTTGTGGATTTACCAAGAGAGGTAGAAGGAGGGAAACAAAGACATCAAAGAGCTGGCGATCAAGGACGGAGTCAAGGGGAAGCTTCAGTGCAGCCAAGATTATTGGAATCCTGTTCTCCAACGTGAATGATGTGAGCTGTCCGGTCTCAATGAGTTTCTGAAGCAGCGCAAAAATACTGGCTTTCGCCACCAGGCGATTCTCGCTGGCACATAACAGGAGCTTCTCGATGAATGCGCGGTGAAGAGGCGCTCCGAGATAGTGACCAGCCTCCACAGCATCGTGCGCCAGCTTCGCGATAACGTCCGCCCGTCTCGTCGACGTCGCCTCTTCCAAGATGTTGAATAAATGCTTGACGCTGACTTCACGGAACAGCGACAGGCCTTTCTCCCGGTACTCCAGATATGTAGCAACAGGGTTGTTTGCCAATTGCAAGCCGAGCCGCTGTTTCTTTTCCGCCTGCAAGGGGGTAGAGTTGAGAAGGAACGGTATGGGGGTTCTCTGATAGCCGGTCTGGGAGGAGGGGCTACTTTCGGAGGGTGATGACGCATGGACATCCGGGCAGGCCGCCGCTGCGCCTGGGCCGGTCGTCTGCACGCCAGGCGATGGCGGTACACTGGCGAATTCATCGTGCTTTGGCTGGAGGCCAGAGACGGCGTGCGAGAGCAAACGTCGAGGGACATGTGAGGGTGCGCCAGGTCTCGGAATGTATGCTCGAAGCGATACGTGCCGGCAGATGAACATAAAGTTAGCTACGTGGTGGCCATTTGCGGTCAGAACTCCATGATACTACGCCCGGACTCGAAACTTACCACATACCGCGACACCTCCGGGATATGAGGGGTCTCGTCGCGACACTGAATGGCTGGACGCGACAAGAGGTGAGACTGGCAAACTTTTCCACAGGCGCACACGTCGACGTCGGGGTGAGGGTCGCGGTGTCACGACGTCACGATCTCTCGTGACCCCTCGCGGCAAATGCTGTCACGTACTGCATACTGCGCGCGTCGCGTCGACGCGCCAACCAAGTTGCCACCGCGCGGCTCGCCACCGTGCGCTGCCCTCCGTCCAAGCCCGGGCCGTCGTCGCTGTGGACCGTGCCCGCAAATTCGCAGGTCTCCCATCTATGTCTGTTCTGGCGCACGAGTTGTAAGCCCCGTCGTCTTCTGCCGTCATCTCGTCGGTCTTCTCTGTTCTGCTGACATTCAAGCTCCTCAGGACAGCACACGCCGCGCGCGAGAACAGTGGCTCGCTTGCTGCAGAAATATGACAAGCATGTGCAAGGAGTTGGCCAGATAACGGCACACGTGGGTTCGGAGGACCTGCGTCGATTTCCGAGGACCGCTGGTGGCGGACACAGGTCGGTTCCTCCGCCGCTTCTAGGCGGGATTGCATTTGATTTGTCTCTATACAGAAGCGCAACAGGCGTTGTGCTGAGTCTCCAGCAGACGCAGCCGCCCCATTGGCTACCACAAGCCTATCTCAGGGCGCGATGCTTGCTCCCATTGGAGGTGACTGATTGTCTTTCGTTTGCGATGTCCCGATTTACCTCCTCCACGTCCCGTTGTCCAGCAGCGCCTGCCAACGCCGCGGTTCATCCGATCATTCCCTGCTATTTCTCCGAGAATGAGCACAGGCGCGTTCTTCAGATTATTCATGCTATTGCGCCCGCGCAGGAGATGGCCTTCAAGGTTTTGCCTTTCACGACGCGGCTCTCCCTCGGTTCGTCGCCACGACGCCGACGCTGCTATCGTTGCGATCTACCATCTGCGCGGCTGATGGCGAGTGAGCGAAATCGGCCGTATTTGGGAGCCAGAAAGCTTGTGTCTCCTGTTCCTCATCTGGGGTTCCCGCCTTTCGAACCCTCTATTATTTGTAAGGGCGGCCGCATGACGAATTCCTTCTATCTTGATACCGAGCTGCTTCTGACTTCTTCGTTCTCCTTGAGTAAGATCGCTGGATTCAACCCGCACACCTGATATGATATCCTGTCCGACATCGCCTATCACACCCGATGTCATGCCCAGACTGGTGCCATTGAATAGTCCCTCAATCCAATCCTTCTAATTTCTGTCGGAAATTGGCAGTGATTGTTTCCTCTGATAGAGGTCTGTCCACAAGGGGATATTCACGCTGATACCTGCTGTATTTCCTTGGGAAATTCTGTCTGTTTATGTGCAATGTCTTGCTTCTTGAGCTCGGGCAGCCGAGCGAATCTCAAGTTTCAACTGTGCAGAAGAATTGCGGTCGGAGCCGCAGGTCTCGTCGTCCACGCGATGGGGTAACGTCTTTCCAAATAATCACATCCCTTGTCTCGGTAGCACAATAGTCTAGAGCAGGTTCAACGTCAAGTGGCCGGAACGCTGCGGCTATGGGCCCCACTAAAATTTGAGAGACGTTGGCCTCGACCGTATTAGTATAATCGGTCTCGCCGTGGTCTCCTCCCTTTCCTGCTCGTCGTTTGGCTATATTGAGACCTCGAATTGGACTGCCTTTCCTTACCCACGCAATGGTGTATTTTGCCATAATGCCAGTCAATCGAACTCACTTTTCCGTTGGATTGGAGAATTTCGTCTGTACGTATTGTGCACGTGCGTTCTAGACATGAGCGTCCAAATACAGCAAGTCTCTAAGAAAGCCTGCCGCTCCCCACGTTCTCCGAGTCTGACTTGTGTCTGACTATAGCTTGAGTCTCGCGCATCTGCAGCTTTTCTAGGAGTGAGTCCGTCTGATTTCTACTTGGATGGGGGCTGGTCAGTCTACTGCCTCACAAGCTCCTCCACGCGCTCTACACGTCTTGCGCGTCACTCCCTCGTCGCCTGCATCTCAAACCACTATTGAACCGTTCTTTGACTTTGTCGTTGGCTTCCAAGGAGACAACTTCGCCCCAAACAACACAGTCGATGCTGCTCAACTAGAGAAGATAGTCGAAGGCCATGAGGGCAGGACGCTGAACCTGTTGGTCTGGAATAGCAAGAGTCAAGAGACACGAGGTGCGTCTGAATCTTTGCAAATCGCCTCTATGAATGCTGAACGGTGTCATATTATACAGTGGTGCCCATAGTACCGTCAAGAGACTGGTCATTACCGCACTCGAACATCCCCGATCCGAAGGAACCAGAAGCGGAGGCCAAACCATCGCTTCTCGGCCTCAGCATGCGCATGTGCGAGCCCGAACTCGCACTTGACAACGTATGGCATGTGCTGGACGTCCTGGAGGGCAGTCCGGCGGAAAGTGCAGGGCTTGTGCCGTATGGCGACTGGATTATTGGATGGTCTGGTGGTGTGTTGAGTGCTGAAGGCGACTTTTACGAGGTCGTGGAATCCGTGAGTGACAATTAGCTTCTGTTATGCGCAATCATTGACTCATGTTCAGCATATTGAAAAACCCCTCCGAGTTTACGTGTACTCGTTTGATTTTGAGTACGTGAGATGAGGACCAGCTGTTCTTCGTACTAACGCTTGTCTCAGTACGATCAGGGAAGTTGTATTGGTTCCCAATTGGCATTGGGGCGGAGAAGGTCTGCTGGGATGTGTGTTTGGGTAAGGCTTGCAACCGTTGTGGGCAAATAAACCGATACTAATCAATGAAACAGGTTCGGCCTTCTCCACCGCATTCCTCCTCTACCACCGGACAGGGAGCCAGGATCTATACCTCCAGAATTGCTGGAGGACGTGGATGAATATGAGGAGCAGCAATTGTTCGTTCCTGCCGATTATCATGGCGAGTCAGAGTACACGGAGCACAGCGAGGACGATTGGCAGCACGAAGAGTGGATGCGGCAGTCGTACGCGAGCAGCTATGACCGTGATCCGTCTATTGAAATCTCTTCCGCGTACTCGTCCGGTCGTGAGCTTGAAACCGAGCAACCGTCTCCTCCCGCTGAGGATCCTCAGCCCGTCGAAGAGACACAGGGAAGCCGTGACGGTAATTCTCCTGGACCGTCTCAATCATCCGCTTCTGACTCGGCCAGTGAGCATGAACATTGGGCACCAAGCATTCCTGTAGTGCAAGTTACACCGGTGCGAGCCAGCGCATTTGTTGTTCCCCGCTCGGGGACGCCAACGCCGTCCCAAGTGCTGGGATCCTTTCATATGAATGGTGATTCATCGAAGTCATCCTGAATCGTCTGTCTGCGCACTCAACGACCCTCACGCTATGCACTAAGGTATCGGCATAAGCCCGCGAACAGCCTCATGGGATGGCAGACCAAGGGTCTTCGATCTCGCGAACAGGGAGATGGCGCACAGGGCCGCTGAAGGCGGACGCGATGGCGATTCTGACGGCGACGATGTTGATAGCGTCACCGACACAAATGTCACGGAGACGACTGAGATGGATAGCGAAGTGACTTCACAAGCTGGTAGTCTCACGAGTATCGATTAGGAAGCTGCTAGTCCTCGATAGATTGTGTACGTTTGGAGACTTTAGGTTGAGAGATCGGTGGAATTGGTACCGAGGCACATGGTTGATCCCTTCACACGCAGTAGCCAAGGCTAGGTCTATGTAGTCATCTGAATACCCTCTTCTAATCGCACGCGATACGGAGATTTTTCACAGCGAACACGCCTGAGGTAGTGGACACGCGTTAAATTAGAGATTCTGCGCTACAGATGCAGGGACAACATGATTTATATACTAGCATTATTTCCATGGCATGCATGGGAAGGTGGAGACTAAGACTCTATTTCTTCATCGCCTTCGCGGGGCTGGACCTTGAACTCCAGGTTCAGCGCGATGACCGGCCAGACTAGAAGATATCAGTAGGAGTGTAATGAACTGCGCATTTCAGTAACACCATCCCGAGGGATCGTACCTTCTTCAAAGCCAGGGTGTCTTCCGAGCCTGATTTGTTGCCAGACGTTGCGCATAGAGTCCGATCCTCGGATTTCCCCCCAGTTGTCCAGGAAGAAGCGCACTTGCACCTGCACATGACCACCATGAGCACGGAAAAATCTCTCTCCATTGACAGATCTCGGGGAAATAGCGTACTCGCCTTGCGAATATCTTCAAAGGCAGCGGAGAAATTAGAAAACACTTCGTATGCCACGTTGTCGACGGTCAGTGATTTGACTATGTGCTTAAAGGCAAGCTGCTTCAGCTCGGGTAGGTCATACCCTATGGTGGGAAAAATCAATAAAATAACAAAGAAGGTCAAGAATAGCTGAGAGAACGAGGACGAGCTAATTCAAGCACATACTGTCTGCTAATCTGAAGACCGCTTTGGCAGAACAAGGCCGGGGGTTTCCGGTATAACCATTCTTCTGCTCCCACTGTGTGATCCACGCTTTTCGTGATCGCGGATTTGACGTCGTAGCGATAGTCTCGGGTTGTTGGCTGGAGCGTTGACTGAAGGCTAGGTTGGACTGGGATTCCGAACTAGACTGACCCACTTCTACAAGCGGGGGAGTATCCGAAGTTTGAACAGCAGTGGATGGAAGGAAGCTGGACGAAAGCGGAGCAAAAACGATCGTATCTGTATATACCTTGCCACGTTTAGATCAGTATCAGTCACCGCCGAATGGAGGTAAATTGACTTCACATAATAGAGCAGTGCGCGAAAAGTTGCATACGGAACATCTCGCACTACTACTGGCACTTTGATCGGTCCAGGAATATCGGGTTCTCTCGAGGGAGCGCAGTAGTCGATTTCCGGCTGGTCTAGATGCATCCTGCTACTCCTTGGAGAAGAGGGATGTGTTATTTTAGCGCGCACGTTTCGAGCCTCTTTGATATCATCCACAGAACTTTGGAGCGAGTTTTCGTCTTGTTCATGTTCGGATATAGGAATCCAAGAACTCGATGGGTCAGTACGCGTATTGTCAATCGATGTGATGGAAACGTCGGCCTCCTGGCTGTGTTCTTTGGCGAAGTCGACATCAACATCAATGGACATAGCGTCTTCATCTTCGTCCTCGTCGTCCGAGTCTTCATATTGGCGAGCTATGTAGTCGCCTGATATTGTCTGCTGAGACTCCGGATCTGAAGAACGGTCAACTTCATGCTGCAGTGCCTGGAGAGGCGAGTTGCCTTCCGCAAATCCTGATCGAAACACTGAGGAAAGTCAGCGGTCAGATGAGTCAAGATGATGCATGCCCTCACTAGTTCTAAAGTACTCGACTCTCTGCAAGATTTTTCGAGCAGCATATATCCTTCTCGTATTCACTTGTACTCGATTTCGATTAGGTAGGACAAATTCCACATCTGAGTATGTCGGGCTGTGATTAAAGCCATGATTGATGGGCTGTGTTCGGAAATGCTCCACTTACTCGTCAAGAAGACTACCTAATACGGTAAGAAAATCCTTTGGTACAGGCTGAAGGGGGATAGACGGTGGTCCAACTGGTGGGGTAGGGGAAGTCGTAATGGTACATGTTATCACGAGTGCGTCCTGCGGTTTGGCACGGAAGATTTGGCTAAAGACGTTATCTCTTCGAGCAAAATGCGCCCATCCCCAATTTTGGGTCTGCCAGACAATCAATGCGCTGATGAAGGAAGGTGATCTTACAAGTATTACCTTGTGTGAAAAGGCATTATCGCCACACTCTTTACTGCCGTATTTTCTCTGTGCGCTATAATGTCATGGATGAGATATGGGGTTAGGTCATCAACGCGATATTCACTCATGGAGGTCAAATCCAAACTTATACAAGCCTTCTCGACTCCATCTAAAATATGTTTATGTATAGGCATAAATCTCACAAAAAATGACATACCTTCCGTTTATCGCGCCCGCCTTCTCTTCTAAGGTTGGCTGGCAAAAAGTTTGAGTAAGCCAAGCGAGACAGAAAGAAAAAGAGAGCCCGACCTCACACGACAAATAGAGGCTCACGAATGATGCACCCTCTGGATTGCTGCCGGAGTTGGCATAGAATAGCACCTGGACAGGCGTGGGGATTGTCATCACATCCGGGTACGATTGCGGATATCTCACCTGCCATCGGCCGCCACCAAATAGGGCGGACCTGATCGCCTTTGATTTCGATTCTCCTGGACTATAAGAAACCTCCGATCCACATGAAAAATAAGGCAGGAAGTAAAGCATCCTACCTTGCATCAAAAACGTCCTTGAGACCCTTGAGAGTCCATTCGAATTTGATCGATGTGCTTTCCTGACATTCAACAAAGCTCTTTTCTTTCATATCTCACCTATCGTTCGCATTCACAATGATATGTGCGGTCGTCGGGCGGGGGAGGTGTAAGAATGATAGGGTAGTAACTTGTACACACGCACGTCCTATATATGTAATTAGACGGACTGGGAACAGAGCGCGAACGTTCAGGTGGCCACAACAATCGCCTACAACTATTACGTAATCGTGATGATATGTGCAGTACGCATTGAAGATAGTCTCGATTGTAAATGCAGTACATGAAAGTGATGTAATCACACAGCCCCTCATCCACTGAGCATCTTGCGAAAATCGTCCTGCCCCTTTGCTTGAGAAAACGATTGGGGTCGCGAAGATGAGGGTGCCGAACCCGCCGCCACTACTGTCGTGCGCTTCTTACTCCCTAACCCAGCCCTCGGCCTCGAAAGGGCACTCCGTGGTAGGAACAGACCGGAGGCAGCAGGGACTGTGGCTGACGAGCGAGATGCGGATGAACCGCCCGGAGCTTCAGCCAGAAGCTCCAGAATGTTTCCATTGAAGACGATAGGTTCGGATCTAAGCAAAAGCTTTCCCGCATCCTACAGACATCATATGTCAGGAGGAAGCCTCGGCGAATAGATATAGACATACTGTCGCATTTTCGAACTCGACGTCCGCTTCGCCTTTGTCGGTGAAGACCTCGACCCGCGCTACAGGCGCTAGCTTCTCCAGTACCTGTTGCAGAAGACCCTCCTGTGTGTTCGCAGGAAGATTGCGTATGCGCAGAGATCTATTTCGCACATCGACTCGATGATTGGGATCCCTATGACACATCATAAGTGTTATTGAGCTGAAGTGCGGGGATATGCCAACCTGTTCTTAGCCCGATTGCGAGTGTCGGCCAGTGTAACAGCAATCCGACGGTTTTTTAACTCGTAATTGTTGGCGCTCAAGGCAGCAGAGGCATCTTGCTACACCAACACATGAAGATGAGAGTCTGACTGCGATGACTGGTCACTCACTTCTTGCTCGAACTCGATAAAGGCAAAGCCTTTGGGGCGGCCGTTCGGGTCCAAGGCCATGCGAACTTCCTTCACCGTTCCATACTGCATGACATATTTGGCTAAGACGATATTTAGAAAAGAGCTAGTCATACGCACTGTCCTGAACAAAGTTTCCAGGTCCTTCTTTGTTACGAATCTACTCAGCCCAGCAACGTATATTTCCCTGTCGTTGGCGTCACTGTCGGTTCGCTCTTTTTTGCGTTCGGGATTAGAGATGTAGACATTCAGGGGCAAGCCGTCCTCGAGCTCCTGTTTATGGAGTTCAAGGGCAGCTTCCGCAGACGTCTAGACGTGACGAATGTGAGATGGATGGAGATCAGAAATCGGGACACTCAGACCGACAGGGGAGGTGAATTGGATGTAACAGAATCGACGGGTGCTCTTGAACTTCTTGCTTGGCCATCGCACGTCAAAAATGGTGCCGTACTATCGAGCCCTATGAGCCTGATTCTCATCCATTGAATTGTGCAGCATACCTTTGTAAAGAGGTTTCGGACGAATGCATCATCTGCTTTTTCCGGAAAATTGGTGACATAAAGTGTGGATCGCCAAGCGAGGTGAACCGCAACTTCCTCTCCGCCAATACGTTTCTTGTCCTTCGTCAAAGCGGCTGGTACGCTATCCTAGAGGAAAAGCCACAATGAGTAGTCGCACTCACTACGGGCGGCATAACGGCATACCCGTTCCATGAATTCGACAGTGGCTACCAGCGAGTTCGGCAATTGTGTCATTTTAATCTCCCGAATGGAGCCACACTTGTCAAGACGTTAGTGGCACGCTCATCGAAATAGTAAACTCTACCCACATCTTTAAAGAGCAGCGTCAAATCATCCTCCCCGGCAGCTGGGGGAAGATCAGCCACAAATACAGTACAGTTCTCTCGATCCCTGCAAATACTCCACGATTCAGCATGTTAGGTTGTTATGCTAACATACAGAGCATTACCGCTTAAGAGGAGCGACCTTTGGCTCTAGGGATAAATATCAGAGACAGGTAGGTGATGAGAGCAGTGGGTCATAAGCACACCTATCCTTGGCTTCTTGTTTTCATCGAGAGCAACTTCGTCTTCCGCCTTCCTCTTCGTACCCGCAGCAGGACTAGTGGCATCGACATCCATCGGCAAGGCGCCTGCGCTATCCGCAGCATTCGGCGGAGGGACGACATCGGCAACGTGAACCATGTTGGCTTCTTGTTCGGCAATGAGTTGCATAGCTGCGTGATCCGCCCTCTCCGCTTCCTTCGGGCTGTGAATTAGAACAATTAATCATATCTCAAGCGACGGTCCACGCACCTTCGCACGTCGTGCCGCGACCTGTGCATTTGCACGCTCAATACGGTCAAAACAATCTTCTATCTCTTCCACGGTTCCAAATAATTGCTCGAAGTTGATCCAGGCATCCCATATGGCTTCCGGCCAGTCAAGGTTCTTCATACAGATATCCCGGAATACCTTTCGCGCATCCTCATAGAGACCTTGTTTGCTGAGAAGATGACGTCAAAAAGCATGGTCTTGCCCATAAGACAGAACTCACATGAGTACTTCCGTATACGATGTCCATGCAAGATAGCTGGTTTTGTAATGCTTGGAGGCATCTTCCCAGAGCACCAATGCATGTTCAGAGTGTTCGGCAAGCTTGAGACACTGACGGCAGAGTATGAATCAGTGAAGATAGGCCGGGCCGCAGGCAAAGGCTCACAACTGCCGAGAAGTACTTTTCGATTCGTAACCTCGGATCGCCAGCGGGAGAAGCTTGTCACGTTCAATAAGAGCGGTTAATCGAACATCATCGGCGGTCTCACCTTTCCTGACACGTGCTATGCCATCCATGAGGACCTCAACCATCTTGTTAAAGCCATCCTCTCCTAGGCGACAATAAGAAGTGACGTTTGATCAACATCGAAACACACCTACCCGTCTTCCCAGCTTCAATTTGTCGTCTCTCGTAACCCGCACGCGCCAAGACGACAGGAACAATTTGTTCCACATCAGATTGCAAGGGGAAGATGGAATGCGTCTTTTCGTATGCACCTATTCAAAATTCGGTACCGATGCTTCTCGTAAAGAAGCACAGGGACTCACCAGAAACTCCTGGGTCCGCGTCTTCAGAATCGGCTACCCGTTCCTGGAATGCAGACGGAAAATCAGTCCAGCTGCACTAGTGAATTAGCTATCGTCCCACCAGGAAGCGTATATATCGTGCCCATACTTCACCCGACCCAGGTGCACTTCTTAGTGCTCTCTGGAACGTCGCCATTTGCAATTCTCCATCGACATCTTGAATTCTCTGTCAAAGCACGTCAGAAACGTTCGGATGGGCAGCGATCATGCATGAATACCAAAAAGTCGATGTAGCCAGCCCAGAAAGAACGTAATGTCTCCTCGGCACCCGCCTGCCCATTCCAGCGGCGGCTGTCCGCCTCTGCGATAGCGCGTTCGTACAGAGCTTGAACCACGAAGAGATCTGGTTTCTTCCGCCGTTCTGCGGCAATATAGTAGGCATAGCCTTCAAGAGAAAAGCCTGCTTGTGCCTGTTTTCACTATGAGACGACTAGAGTCATCTGAGTGCGCTCAAACCTACAAGGGAAGATTCGTAGGTTTCGCGCTTCTCGTACGCTTTGACGGCTTGCGAGCGCAGCTTAGAGGCTGTGACGAGGAGAGATTCATATTGGTCTGGTGGTTTATAGTTCGTCGTGAAAGTGGAGTAAGCTTGAAAAGTCTCGTCGTGATCTAGGATCGATATAATTAAATTATCCGTCGACCCGGAAAAGCTGGGACGCGGAACGTACTGGAATGTGGTTGTTGAAGCCGTTCCAACAACATAGACTCCACACGACTGATCAGCGCTGCTCTGTAAATAGTACAGTATTAAATTTACGGCGCGAGTGCATACGAGCAGAACCTACTTCTCTTCCCCAGTAGCATGCTGCAGATTCTCAAGCTCCCAATCTCGCTGCATATCCCACAGGAGATGGCTCTGGGATCATATCAATGAGATCTCATCATGTCTATAAAGGTGCCGGTGTGCCCCAACCTTTGTCAAGTGACCAATACCTTGGGACACGACGGAGGCCATCGCAGTGTGAGTCCACTCCATTGAAAAGAGGTCCTGCAACTCTTCCGGCCTGAGGTCGACTGAATGGAAATACTGGAATCGATCAATTAGAAGCTCCAAATGCTTCTGCAGCAGTGGAAGGGCTGAATGAAGGTCGATAACCAGTCAGTGAGAATGGAAACTCCACGTACATAGGTAATCGTGCTCCGCCCGGTCATACAAGCTGAGAATTGCTTGTAGGTCTCCGGGAGCGTCAAGATTGCTGGACTGAACCTTGCGCTCAATCAGAGGGAGCCATATCTGGTCGCCAGCTGCCCAGAATGCGGGGACCATCTCCAACGCCGACTCGACTTGGTCGTCCATCCCCGTGTCACGAGCCACGCGCACATGCTCCGCGTGTAGGGCTATGTTGTACGGGTCGTCAGTAAGGCGAGTTAGAATACTTGACAAAGCCTCCAGAGCATCCGCTTCATCCATATTGACAGCCAGAGACAAGCTCACTCAAGCGCAGAACAGATTAGCGTCAGGGTGACGGTAACAAAGAGAGCCCCTGGATAGTGGTAAAAGGCGCAACCGGAATCGGCGTTCCAGAAAAGTGAGTATGAATAACAGCCCAAAGCCCGAAGAGATAATTCCCAGATTTCGTTAGAGCGTGTGCGAGCGCAAGATGGTGCGCCTCGCGTGGGTGGCAAAGCTGCGGGCAACGCGTCGACTCCGACGAGAACGCGTTGGCGCGTGACCGGTCCCGCGAGTCCCTTTTTTGGAAGCCGTTCGGTGAACTAAGGTTCAAAAATGCCAGTGTCCGGCCTGAATTTGCTGTTTTACTTGTTACCTTTCCGCTCACAAACGAGTTAGATGCGTTCATATCTTCGATGATTTACAGCACGATGACTTTGAATGCAAAGCCCGCACGGGAATTGTGGATATTCATTGTCGGCCCGGCAAGCCGTCCTCGAGGACCTCCGCATCGAGTTGCTTCCTAGTCTTAAGGTCGCTGCTCTCCTCGAGTCTCGTCGGCACATAGTGGTTATATCTGATCTCTCATCACCATGTCTTCATCGCTGCGATTTGACCAGCTCTTCAATCTTCAAGCCCGGGTGGCGTTGGTCACAGGCGGCGGGACGGGGATCGGCTGGATGATCGCAGAAGGCCTCGCAGTGAACGGTGCAAAGGTTTATATCACAGGACGGAGGCAGGAGGTCTTGGAGAGCAAGGCAACAATATTCAAGCAGAATAATCAGGGAAATGGTTCCATCGTCCCGTGAGTTGATCGATTCTCGAAATTGGACCTGCATGCAATATTGAACGAATATAACATTGAATGCTCAGTCTAGTGATGGATGTCACAGATCGCGAGAGTATCCTTGCAGGACAGAAAGTCATCGCGTCTAATGATGGAGGATTACATATACTTGTGAACAAGTAAGTGTGGACAGTACGCACCTGCATTCATGAGTTCATTTTATCAACGATTTATGCAGTGCAGGGCAAGTTGGACCCGTAGCGCGGTGGTTCGAAGATAAAAATGCTCCGCAACACAAAGATCCGGAGACACTAGGCCGGGCGTTGTTTGACCACGAAACGTTCGAAGACTGGTCGAAACTATACAGCATCAATACTTTCGCAGTATACTTCATGACGACAGCATTCCTGGGACTGCTTGCCAAGGGTAGTGAAAGTGTTCCTGGATATACATCGTCTGTCATCAATATCACTAGTATTAGTGGGTCAATCAAGCTAGGACAAAATCATGTTGGTACAACCCGAGTTCTGCGCATCTACCATTCTTACTTTGATGCAACTACAGCTCTGCTATAACAGCTCCAAAGCTGCTGCTACGCATCTCACACACATGTTTGCGACGGAGCTCGCACTGAAGAAGATTCCCGTTCGTGTGTGCAGCGTATCACCCGGTGTCTACGAATCCGAGATGACATACGATGCAATTGGAGAGGACAAGGTCGACCTCGTAGGCAAGGGGATTGTCCCTGTACCAATCAGACGAGCAGGATCGTAAGTAGCATACACGCGATTCCAGAATTGATTTGGCTGACTTCTTGTTCAGGGCTCAGGAGATAGCTGGAACGGTCATTTACCTCGTATCCCCCTCTGGATGTTACACCAACGGTCAGGAGATTATTGTGGATGGCGGGTTTACCGCCGT